CAGACACCCCCCAAACAGCCCCCTTGTGCGGAGTCCGGGCACGCCACCAAAGCACTCGCTTGTTGTGGGTCCCTGAAGGAGCCCTACGGATGTCGCCCAGATCCTTCTCTGGAAGGCTGGCAGACAGCCAGCAAGCCCCATCACAGACCCCTTGCCTGGAGAGACCGCGAGCTCGCCTTTCTACCGCCTGCAAAGCACGACCACTTTGGGATCATGGGCAGCGCCATCTTATTCACCTTTCACCCTTTCACCTTTTTTGCACTGCGCACGCGCAGCTCCTCCCACCAAAGGGATGTATCGCCCTCCAGCTGGTGGCCTGCGCAGTGACGGTGGCTTTTCAAGTGGGCCTATTTGCCTTTGCGCAAGCGCAAATTCTACAGTTCCGTCAAAGCCTCTGGGGGTACTTTTATCAGGAACGGGTTTTTTCTGATTTTGGAGCGTGGCCGCGTCCGCGACTTTAGCGCCCCCTTTGGCAGCCGAGGTTATTTCGCTGTGCGCAGGCGCAGAAAGTACTTCGTTGGGGTCGCCAACGAATTCTGGGAGTTGAAGTCCACACATCTTAAAGTTGCCCACTTTGAAAAACACTGCTTTAGAACATCTGAACATTAAAGTAGCGAACCTGTTTCAATGGATGTCTCTCCATAAATGAACATGATAAATAGGAGATGATAAATGGGAGTTTCAATAGAAGAGAGTATCTGGAGCTCAGGGTTGAACTGTGGAGTCCTTGGTGCTCTCTGAGTTTGGTTGTTTGCTTGCAGACATTTCATTACCCAGCTAGGTAACCTCATCAGTGCTAGTGAGGGTGGGATTTGCTCCCTGTTTATATACAGTAGCTTGCCCTGCTTTGATATTTAGAATAATTATTTATTATCATCATTGTTTAATGCCTCAAAGTTTGTATAGGACTTTCAAACTGCATCTTTAGGCTCCCTTTGGGTTGACAGAAACTCAGAGGGAGACCAAGTGGAAACCGAAGGCAGTTGCTTTAACGGTGTTCCAGAAGGAGGAATTCTAGCAAATGCAATGACCTGTTTTTTTTAGTGCTGCAGGTCACACAATATCCCAGAAGAGGCCGTGGGAAACCGTTTCGGTACCGCTGAGAAGAAAATTGCACGGACGTGACCTTGTACTTCCTAGACATCAGGCTCACATCAAAGGAAATTTTACCTTATGATTCTGATAAGCTGCACTTACCAAACTTCTATTCAGAAGCTTGGTTCTCACAACATCCTGACCCAGGGTTCCTCAACCTCAGCAACTTTAAGATGGGTGGACTTCAACTCCCAGAATTCCC